CATACAATCAGATTTCCAGTGGGGTGCCATGGGAAGTGGTGTTGTGCAGCAAAACCTGTGTGCCGACCCCTGCCGTAGGGTCACCCTGAGATGGAGACAACAAGAATGTAAACAAAGCTGCAGTCCAGCTTAAATATAAACTAGGCTGAAAGTAGGAGCCAGCATAGCATAGTGGCTTGAGTGTTGGACTTGGACTCTGGAGATCAGGGTTCAATTTCCAGTTCAGCCTACTGGTGACCTTGGGCACATCACACTCTCTCAGCCTCAGGGGAAGTCAATGGCAAACTTCCTCTGAATAAAGCTTGCCAAGAAAACCCCATGATGCCTTAGGGTAGGGTGACCAGATGTCCTAACTGCAAAAGGGGGACAAGGCACTGAAAAATGCAGGATATTCAAGGAGAGTAGGACATTACAAAATGAAAGCTTAACACACTAATATAAATATAAATTCATGCTTCTTAGTCATGCTCAAAATGGAGGAATTTAGAAATTCATCCCGGACAGGTTAAAATGTAGGGCATATCCTTGAAAAGGAGGACAGCTGGCCACCCTGCCTTAAGGTCACCGTAAGACAAAAAGACTAGAAGAAACACAATTGATAGTTTGTAAGGTGCCACGTGACTCTGCATCCTCTGAATTTTAGAATCGATAGAGAGGAGCAGAGAAGGCCCCAAATGGCAGCAGAGGGCAGGCCTTATTCTTGAACAACTTGAACAAGTTTACCATTTCTTTTGGCAACTTGTGGACACTCCCTGCCCCAATGGATTGCCTCTTAGGCAAATCTCTTGTGCAGCATCTTTGGGCCTTTGCAGACTGCTAGAAATAGTGCAAACTGAGTCCACTTTAAGGGTTACGGTTAGGGAATCATGGGAACTGTATTTTATTGTGGCACCAGAGCTCTCTGACAGAGAAGGTTCAATGTCTCAGGAAAAAAACAATTCCCATGATTCCCTAGCACTAACCCTAACCCTTGAAGTGGACTCAATTTGCACTATTTCTGGCAGTCTGCAAAGGTAGTTTGTTTCTTTGGAAGCTTCATTGTCCCAAGTCTAAAATCCCTTTCCTTTAGATCTGAAGAGAAGATGGACCCCACACAGCCCCAGATGTCCTCCTTTTCCAGGACAGGTCCTACGTTTCAGCCTTCTATCCTGGAGAAATTCCAAAATGTCCTCCATTTTGAGCATGCCTAAGAAACATTAATGTCTATTTCTATGAGTGTTTTGAGCTTTTATTTGGCCATGTCCTTCTTGAATATCTTCCATCATGAGCAAACCTAAAAAGCACGGATTTATACTTCTGTGAATGTTTTGACCTTTCATTTGCTCACGTCCTCTATTTGTCTCGAATGTCCTCCATTCTGAACATGGCTAAACAGCATGAATTAATATTTCTTCGTGTTTTAAGCTTTGATTTGGTCATGTCCTACATCTGTTTCTAATACCCTCCATTCTGAGCATGGCTAAGAAGCGTGAATTTATATTTCTCTA